GATACCGAATCAAAACATAGTATATCGTCTGTGTCAGAGAGAGACGCATCCAGGTATACCAGGAACACAATTCCACACAGCGAGATCATTCCATCAAAATGTTTTCCCCAACTTTACAATTGTTAATGTTGAGAAACCACCATGCTTTTTGCGAAAGTTCTCCCCGGATGGACAACATTTCATTGCTTTCTCTGCTGATCAAACATCGCTTGAAATTTATCAGTTTCAGGGTCCGGCTGCAGCTGAAGAATTATTACAGAACACAAAATTTGGACCAATCACAGCGAATGATGAACTTTCACAGACAATACGAAGTCAGATATTTCAGAAATTCTTTGTTTTACGGCATAGCGTTAATGTGGCCCAAAATGGCGAACATTTAAACCGGGAATGTAGCCTATTCACGGACGATGGCCGATTTGTTATTGTTGGTTCTGCTGCATATGTTCCTGAAGAGCCATACCCATATTTTTTCGACGTGTACCGAAATAATGAATCTGTGTCGCCTAATCCTAGATCGCCGTTAGAGGACTATTCCCTGCATGTGGTTGACATGTATTTAGGTATTCTTTGTGATAGTAGACAGTTAAAATGTGATAAAGTCTTTCTTTCCCACAACCAGGGCCTCTATCTTTACCGTAACATTTTAGCTGTACTTTCAGTTCAACAACAGACGATTCATATATTTCAAGTCACAGCTGAAGGTGCTTTCATAGATGTACGGGTCATTGGTCGGTTCTGTTACGAGGACGATGCACTTATTTTATCTTCAGTCCGAGCTGAAGGGAATGCAGCTCCTCAGCCTGATAGACCATTCCGAGAAGCAAGTATAAACTCTCTGAAACACAGGTTATTGGCGTTTCTGTGGAGGAAGGCTGCCGCAGATGGTTCACCTACAGCATTACGAAGATTTTATCAGTTCTTTGATCAAATCCGGCTGCTGAGAATGTGGAAAATGCAGTTACTGGATGAGACACACTTACTGATTAAGTATGCCAGTGAAGATGTTGTAACACTTCGCGTTCCAGACCCAAACTCGCAGCCGTCATTCTTTGTTGTGTATAACATGCTGTCAACCAAAGTAGTGGCTGTGTACGAGAACACATCTGAAGAACTTTTAGAACTCTTTGAGAATTTCTGTGATCTGTACCGAAATGCGTCACTCCATGCACATGCACAGTTCACATGTTCAGCATCAAGCAACGTTCATGCCAGACAGATCCAGAGACGATTCAAGCATACAATTATCAATGCGAAGTATGGTGGCCATATGGAGGCTGTTAAGAGGTTACTAGCCCAGTTACCCATCAGTTCACAGTCTTACAGTAGCAGTCCTTACCTGGATTTAGCATTGTTTAGTTATGATGATAAATGGGTTTCAGTTATGGAAAGACCCAAGGCATGTGGAGATCACCCAATAAGGTAAGCTTTTCCCTCTGTTGCCTTTAAAAAGTTGCATC